CCACTCTCTCTAAAAAAAAAAAATCAATGGAAAAAATATTCTCGGGTGAGGATTAGCAACCACCACCACAAAAAAGGAAGTGACATTGTTAATGTCTTACTGGGATTCTGATCTATTCAAATACTTAACACAGTATCCCAAGCTGCTTCCATCCATCCATCCTCGCCCTTTTATGGTGACCAAACAGCGCTGTGTGTGAACACTGTTCCGAAGTCAGTGAGGCATTTACCGAGAACCCTTGATAAAACCAAGGGTTTTGATAAACCCTTGATAAAACCACCTTTAGCCGAAACCGATTTGGCTCAGTGGATAGAGCGTCGGCCTGCGGACTGAAAGGTCCCGGGTTCGATTCCGGTCAAGGGCATGTACCTGGGTAGCGGGCACATCCCCAATAGGAGATGTGCAGAAGGCAGCTGATTGATGTTTCTCTCTCATCGATGTTTCTAACTCTCTATCTCTCTCCCTTCCTCTCTGTAAAGAATCAATAAAATATATTTAAAACAAAAAAAGCACACACAAACAAACCACCTTTAGCTTTTAAATGCCAAGAGCTGTGATTCCGTCCCTCAGGTTCTGCTGTCACTGTCTGCCATGAGGCCCTTCATGACAAGTCTTTTCTCCGGTGTTCCTCCTGGGTCTGTCCCAGCCCCCAAAATGTTTCTATTCGCACCGTTATCTTCCCTAAGAAGAGGAATATACACCTCCATGTATTGGCACCCAACAAAGAATCCTAGAAAAACTAGAGAACTTGTCCAGAAAGCAAGCAATGCTGACTCTCATCTAGGTCTGCCTGCTGTAATAGCAACATCTGACCTGGCTAACTCACAGGACCGGTGGTCATTTATTTTTTCCAGGTGCCCACCTGGCTCCTGCACATCCATTCTAATCTTTCCTTGACAAGCTAGTCGGGTTGTTGTTGTTTTATTTTGAGTCACAAAGCTACACACACACAACTGAGTACTGAATACAGTTTTTGCTGCCACCTGCATCGCTGTGTCTTTATTAACAAGTAAGTGCGTTGGGCTTTTATCTTTAAATAAGCACAGTGACCGTGGAAAATTGCAATTTATTACAACACTGGGATTTGGGGGGAAAAACTCCACTTATTAGACTCCGCCCCAAAAGCCTGGTAAGCAAGCAGTCTGTTGCCTAGGCTGTGGCTGACACCTACTGGTGTCCTACAATACAGTTCTCTGTTTCCTACCGGCACGTGCTAGCGATATAGCCAAGGAATGAGGGGAAAGTTATACATTTTAATTCTTATGTGTCCATGGGGTTTACATAAAGTCAGAGACTTGATAACTATAAATTGATAACTAAAAGAGCAAAGGGTGGTGGGCGGGTTCGAGTCCCAGTCAGGGCACATGCAGGAGGCAACAAATCGATGTCTCTCTCTCTCTCTCTCTCTCTCTCTCTCTCTCTCTCTCTCTCTCTGCCTTCCTCCCTGAAAATCAATTTTAAAAAGCTGTAATTATTCTTTGGGTTGCTAAACTCTGATGCTGGATTATGGATGCCACACAAAATAGTTTATCTTGATCCATAGAATTTATACTAAAAAAACCTATTTTAAAAATCTAACTATGCCCTCAAAATAACATACATACCAATATGCTAACTGCTATAAATGAAAGATACATATCGATTTACTTCCAGAAACAGCAAACACAAGCAAATTTTATAATGCTTTCTGCTCCTTGTAGGTATTTTATATAGATCAAGAAAACTTTTAGAGGAAAACAGTCCATTATATGAAGCCAATAAGATATACGTTCAGATATTTAGCAAAGTCCAATACAGAGAAGGGAATGAAGAATGGATCAATTCACACAAAAAAAGACACTATAAATGATCTAAAATGAATAAGAACTCGAATTCATATAAAGCAAATCCATTTAAAACGCAGACCAAATTTCTTAATAAATAGTGAGAATGAAAAATCTGATTTGAACATTCTCTTGAAAATAATTATAAATAGTTTTCTAAAATCTTCTATGTCATAAAATTTAGGTTATAATGATAACTATGTGCTTATTCCTAGAACATAAAAAGAGTGAATCAGATGTTGCTTTTGGGGCAAAACTTTTTCCGACAAAGGGGATGACAGCCGGATTCAAAATCATTAATGATCACAGTGCAATCATAAAAAAGGTTTTTTGTTTTTTCAAAACACTCAAAGGGCTACATCAGGCTTCCCAAACGCCCATCTTAATATTTTAATCTTCAAATCATTCTTTTTTAAACGTCATTTTTGTTGGTCTTTCTCTTCTTTACTTTTTTAAAAATATTCTTTTATTGATTTTCGAGAGAGGAAGGGAGAAGGAGAGAGAGACAGAAACATCAATGACGAGAATCATGGATCGGATGCCTCCTGCAAGCCCCCTACTGGGGATGGAGCCCACAACTGGGGCATGTATCCTGACGGGGAATCAAACCGTGACCTCCTGGTTCCTAGGTGGAGGCTCAGCCACTGACCCACACCAGCTGGACTCTTCTTTACATTTTAATTGGTCCATTCAATATTGTAACATCCAAAAGATCATCTAGGAAGCTTAACGCACACACAAAAAAGGCACAGGCCAAGACACAGGCACAGGCTAAGCAAAGAGGGGTTTTGAATGGGGGCAGTTTGGTAAGTGGAACATTTGTGAATATTTTGCTTCCCGACACGGCTCCTCCTGTCACCACACAACTGCGGGGTCCTGAGTAACACATTCTCAGCTCATGTGGACCCTCTGGATGTGGATTTATAGCACCTGCTCACACAATAAGAGAGGACACCCATTTCAGTCTGACGGTCTTAAGACAGGGAAAGTGCACCGTGGTCAGGAACACGTTCTAAAGGGTTTTATTTTATTTTATTTTTTAAAGAACGCAATAGAATACTGTACCAAGGTGGTCAGCGAGTTCCTTTTCATATAGAGTCTCTCCAGGAACTGGAGCCCTTCGCCTTTGAGTAACTCCAGCGGGAAGTGGTCGAGATTCCTGTAGTTCAAGAACAAGTTCTTGTGCTTCTCCAGCCTGGCCACCGAGATGGTCTTGCCGAGCTCGGACGCCATGGCTGAGCAGATCCCATCGGGCACGCGGCAGCCCTACATCCTGTCAGAATCGGTCCATCTCTGAGGAGGAGAAAGACCAGCGAGTGATTATAAAACCGCTGACAGCACTGCCAGGCAAGCCCGTTAAGCACACGCAGCCACTGCAGATACTAAAAAGGAGAGTCATGCATTGAATCCCCATAGTCTGCTCTCATAACAACTAAATTTGTCAGGCGTATTTAGAAGATTAAATTAATAACCATTTCATAAAAATACATCCCCTACTTAGGAAATATTTATTACTCAGTAGAAATAGTCCTAATTGAAAAAACACACACACAGTCTTGAAATTGAGATCGGAATCCCTAAGACAACAGGAGACTGGTTTCTCAACGGGCAACCAAAGACACAAGTTAAAAATCAGATACAGCCCGGGCCGGTGTGGTTCAGTGGATACAGCGTCAGCCTGCGGACGGAAGGGTCCCGGGTTCGATTCCGATCAAGGGCATGTACCTCGGTTGCGGGCTCCATCCCCAGTAGGGGGTGTGCAGGAGGCAGCTGATCGATGTTTCTAACTCTCTATCCCTCTCCCTTCCTCTCTGTAAAAAATCAATAAAATATATATTTTTTTAAAAATCGGATACGGCAAATCCTCATTTTTGTACCTAGCTAAGGTATTTCAAGAATATTTAAATATGTATATAGAATATAGCTACATCAGCCCGGCTGCTGAGGCTCAGAGGTTGAGCTTCGACCTAAGAACCAGGGGGTCAGGGTTCGATTCCCGGTCAAGGGCACATGCCCGGGTTGCGGGCCCCATCCCCAGTAGGGGGCGCGCAGGAGGCAGCCGATCCACGATTCTCTCTCATCGTGGATGTTTCTCTCTCTCCCTTCCTCTCTGACATCAATAAAATTCATATAAAAATAAAAACTTATATTAAAAATTTAAAAAAATAATAATGCAAACAGTTTTCCAATGTGCATTCCTCGGCCACATACCTCCCTTACCTGGGTACTTTTTTCTTACGCCAAGTCCCTTCACTACCTCTTACGGACAGTTAAAAGTAAACGACAAGGGGCATAACTAATACTTTCAACAATAAATATTTATTAAAAAAAGAGAGAGACTGGATGGCAAATAAAAAGAAAAGAAAAAGGAAACGACAGCCTCAGCATTCACCGCACACAACTGCACCTCCACACGAGTTTTCTTGACAGGTAAACACCACCCCACGTTCGTGTGTTGTGCTTTTGTTTTGTTTATTTTTTCTTAAAGAAACAAAACCTCCCATTTTAAGAATATTTCGCCCATTGGAGGCAGGGTGCCTTCAAGGCAAGGAAGGAGCCCCTGAGACTGGCTTCGTTACTTCCTTGAGAAATGCCACTCCGACGCCCCGACACGGGACATTGCAGCGTAGAAAACGGCACATGAAAAGCATCTGTCAAAGGTCATTTTCCTCCGACGCCCCGATCAAGTCCCAGGTGCAGACAGGTGCTTCGCGGGCCCAGGCCCCGGGCCCCCAGGGACGAGGAGGGCCCGGCTGGGCCCGCTCGCCCCGCGACCCACCCCCGCGGCCCGGACGCTGTGGCCGGACCCAGCCTGCGAGGCGGAGGCCGGGACAGAGGGCCTCGCCGCTCCCGTCACCTGAGACTCGGAGGCGCCACACTCACCTGGGCGCCGGCGGAGAGAGCGCTCCCGGGCGCAGGCTGAGCTGGGACGGCAACCGTGGGGCGCCGGGCGGGGCGGGGCGCCGGGGAGGGGGCGGGGCCAGGCGGTGAGGGGCGGGGCCCTCCCTACCGAGAGCTGGGAAAGCGGGAATGGCGCAGGAGGACGGAATCTCGCGATAATTGCCCCCTGTTCTCGCGGTCTCACGATAGGTGGGACGAGACGCTCGTTTTCCAAGCCATGTGGCCATTGGTCGAGAGCAGCGCTTCCGGCCTACTGGACCCGCCCACCTCCGACCCTCGCTTCCGGCTCCGGCTCCGGCTCCGGCTCCGGCTCCTGGCTTGCTGTCAGGAAGGAGTAGTTTTTTGCTTTTACGGCGTGAGGGTGTGATTTGTCCCGCTCCAACCTCAGAGGCCGCCGGTAACTACTCTGCGCTCTCGTTCGTGCGTCCATTCAGGCATCCGTGCACGCATTGAATGTATACGTTGAGGGATTACAACAATGATTGATGCCGGGCGCTTGTTGGGTTCCAGGCGGCGTGCTGAGAGCTGCGCATAGTTTACCTCTTTTAACCCTCACAGCAATCCCATGGCACAGGTACCATGATTCTACCCCTTTGATGGGTGAAAAACGGAGGCCGGGTGGGATTCGGCACCGTGGCCAAGGTTAGGGAGCAAGCCGTGAGCCTGGGCGCCGGGTTTTAAGGGCCCGGCGGTGCGCGCTGATAGGTTCCTGCCAGAGAGGAGGCGGTGACCTGGTCTCTGAAACACCTGTTGTGAGGAAGGATCGCTAGAAAAGACAGTGACAGCTTAGTCATTTAAATATTGAGGCGGTTCCTAGCGTGGCTGAATGGCTGTGCATAAATATTCCTTCAATGTCTATATCAGGGAATAAGGACAGCAAAGGAAGAGAGCTTTATGTTGGTTAAAAAAGAAAAAGAAAAGAAAAATCCAAGCATTTTTAGGGAACTTTTAAAAAAAACCATACGAATATTTTAAATACCTTGTTTGGTAACATGGCCATTTTTTATTTTTTTAATATATTTTTATTGCTTTCAGAGAGGAAGGGAGAGGGGGAGAGAGAGAGAGGAACATCAATGATGGGAGAGAATCATGGATCGGCTGCCTCCTGCACACCCCACACCTGGGGATGGAGTCCGCAGCCCTGGCAGGGACCCCGATCGGGAATCCAGCCGTGACCTCCTGGTTCACAGGTCGAGGCTCAACCACTGAGCCACACAGGCTGGGCGAGAATGCTCCTGTGTTCAAAGAAGTCCTGAATATAGTGTTGAAATCTACCTGGAGCCTACCCTCAGTTTCTAGGGAAAAAGTCGATATGAAAAAGATCACCTAACACCTCTCTCTCTTTTTTTTCTTTATTTAAAAACCAGAGGATAATGCCTATAAAACTATGCAAGAATCACAGGAAACCCACATATCCAAGTACTTAGACGAAATTGTGGCTGCTGTCAGCGTCACGCCGAGAAAGAAGTTCGCCAGCAGGCTGCCTCATTCGGTCCTTTTCCAGCCTCCGCGAGAGCAACTCCAGCTCTGCGAAGAGAAAGCAAAGTTCTACTCCAGCCGGCACGAGGTGAGGAGCCTTCCTTCTCCATCCCTGTGCCTGGGCCATTGAGAAGGGCAATGGCTTAGGTGACGTTCCCAAGAAAATGTGTATGTATGGACATGCACAATGGAATATCATTCAGCCATAAAAAGAAGGAGATTCTGCCCTGGCCAGTGTGGCTCAGTAGTTGAACATCGACCTATGAGCCAGAGGGCCACTGTTTGATTCGCAGTCAGGGCACATGCCCCTGTTGCGGGCTTGATCCCCGATCCCCAGGAGGGGGTGTGCAGGAGGCAGCCGACTGATGATTATCTCTTACTAGAGGCCTGATGCACGAAATCTGTGCAAGGGGCTCGGCCCTCGCAGCCCCGGCTTCATCAGAAGGTCGTCCGGAAGGATGTCCGGAAGGACGTCTGGAAGGTCGTTGGGCTGTCTGGTCTAATTAGCATATTTGCTTTTATTATAGATTGATGTTTCTACCTCTCTCTCCCTCTTCTTTCCTCTCTAAAATCCATAAAAATGTATTAAAAAAAATTTTTTTTAATAGTAAGCCTGTGCCTGTTTTCTTTTCCTTACAGTATAAGCAGGCGATCCAGGAGCTCGTACGCTGCGTAGCATTGACCAGGATCTGCTATGGCAGCTGCCATTGGAAACTAGCAGAGGCGTATGTTAATCTGGCTCAAGGCTACCTCCAGCTGAAAGGTGAGCTCAGCTCAGACCCAGGAGGCTCAGTTGGTTGGATTCTGCTTTTTTCCCCCAAATTGGACTAACATGTAACTGCAAGGATTAAACTACCCTGATCATTCTCCTCTGCACACATGGGGAAGCCATCTCCCTTCACAAAGAGTCAATAAGATTTTTTATATATAATGTATAAAAAAAGAGCAGGAAGATTTGTGCCCTTATTGTTTTATTTTTTAGGGTCTTAAAAGTGGGGTTCTTGGGCCCAGCTGGCATGGCTCAGTGGTTGAGCATTGACCTATGAACCAAGAGGTCACAGTTTGATTCCCGGTCCAGGGCACATGCACAGGTTGCAGGCTCAATCCCAAGTGTGGGGTGTGTAGGAGGCAGCCGATCCATGATTCTCTCTCATCATTGATGTTTCTTTCTCTGCTTCTCCCTTTCTCTCTGGAATCAATAAAAATATATTTTAGAAAACTAGATAAATAAGAAGACCATTTTTGGGGAGAAATGATCTTATCTTGACTACAAGGAGGGTATGTGTGGAAATTTCATCTTCTATACTAAGTATAAAACACTTTGGTTGCTACAGTCATGACAGTATTTCCTGCTGCCCCAGTACCTCTCCCTTGACAGTAAGTAGATCAAGGAGACCTCATTGGATTCCCTGACCTTAAATGACTGACGATATTCTTGCCCACTGAGATGATAGAGAAATTGAGACTTCCTCTTCTTTGTTCCCAGGAACGTCTCTGCAGGCCAAACACCATGCAGAGAAAGCCAGAGAAATCCTCACCAACTCCATCGTGCCTTCCTGTGATGACAACACGGCTGTTTTCAGGTGTTCCGTGGAGCTATTCCATACCCTGGGGAGAGCCCTACTCTCCCTTCAAAAGTATCCTTTTGGCCCTTTTCAGTGTGGCTCCGTGGGTAGAGCATTGGCCTGCGGACCAAAGGGTCTCGGGTTGGCTTCTGGTCAAGGCCATGTACCTCGGTTGCAGGCTCGATCCCAGGCCGCAGTTGGAGCTTGTGCAGGAGGCAACCAAACAATGTGTCTCTCTTATATCAATGTTTCTCTCTCTCTCTCTCTGTCTCTCCCCATCCCTTTCACTCTCTCTCAAAAAAAAAAAAAAAAAAAATCAGTGGAAAATATCCTAGTGTGAGGATTAACAAAAATAAAAAAAGTATTCTTTGGCCTCTACTTACAAAGAGACATACTGTTCATGTTCCTTATATATAACTAGAAGCCCAGTGCATGAAATTCATGCACAGGTAGGGTCCCTAGCGGTTGCTGGGTGCCAGCTGCCGGCTGGGACCTCCCTTTCCCCAGCTGCCTGCTGCCACCACCACTGGCCAGGGCCTCCCTTTCCGCAGTTGGCCGGCCGGCCCCGCCCCTGGTCGAACTCCCGGTCGAGGGGACAATTTGCATATTAGGCTTTTATTATATAGGATTCTCAAAGCTGACACGTGACCCGGGAAGGGTGATGGGAAGTGTAGAGAGTCCAGGATGTCCAGGAACTAGGGTCCCGGAATCCAGAACCAAGGGTCACGTTTCCTGAACGCAGCTCAGATTCAAGGAGGCCGCAGAGAACTTGGCGAAAGCAGAGAGGCTTTCACAGGAGCTGCTGCGATGTGGAAGGATCGTGAAGGAAGAGTGGATAGAAACCCAGGCTCGGATCAAGCTGTCATTCGCGCGGTAGGTTTCCAGGGCAGGACTTTTCGTGAGCATGACGGCTGGCGGTTCTTTGCCGGAAGACTCTGTCTCCAGACAGGAAGTTTCTTATTTTTAAAACCTGCCTTTATTGACTTCAGAGAGGAAGAGAGAGTGAGTGAGAGAGAAATATCAATGATGAGAGAGATTCATTGATCAGCTGCCTCCTGCATGCCCCCTCCTGGGGATCCAGTTTTTAGCATCTATACTTAATGTATAAATTACCCTTTAAGCCAATGATTATTCACGTGATCTGTGTTTTAGTTTGAAGATACGTGAGATTTTTTTTTTTTTCTGGGTGTTTGGGTGCTATTCCTGTCTAATTTTATGGTATTATAGACAGAAACATATTTGTATGGTATGGACTCTGCAATTTACTGAAACTTTCTTTGGGATCTAGTCCAGGGCCAAGTTTCGGGAAGGTTGCCAGGGAGCTACAAGGGAAATTGTGTTCTTTAATTGCCGTGTGTAAGGTTGCAATAAGTCTGCCTTAGGGGTGACTCAAATTCACATTTTTGTTTTATCTTTTGCGACTTTGATGTATTAGTTTTGAAGGTAAGCGCACTTGAATTTTGATGCACAATTATTGGGCTGTTTAGCGCTGTCCATGGTTCTGCCAGTCATTGTTTTATGCAGTCTGGTATGTTCTGTTGGGTGGGAGGTTAAAATAGCAGCATATCTTATTTATTATTTTTATTTATTGACTTGAGAGAGAGAGATTGGTGAATTTCAGAGGGAAGGTGGGTGGGTGGGGAGAGACTATCGGGGAACTTATATGCATATATGCATAACCCATGGACACAGACAATAGTGTGGTGAAGGCCTGGGAGGGGGGGGCCGGGATGAATGGGGAGGTCAGTGGAGGCAAAAAGGGGGGGACATCTGTAATATTTTCAACAATAAAGGTAAATTTGAAACACTAACAAAAAAAATACTTAAAAAATAAGCTGATGGCTGCCTCTGGCAGGAAGGTAGAATAGATCAAATTGTGATATGTTCACCCAAAGAAAATGATGAGAGCGTTCCTATGCTTAACGTCAGGAGTGACTCTCACAAGCAGTGTTTGTGTAAGAAGCCAGACCCCCAACGAATTCATCATACCGTCTGATCCCATGTTTGTAACAGGAGATGGTAGTGGTTGCAAAAGGCTGCTAGCCCAGAATTGCTCCCTGCCCAGAAGTAGGCATTCTCTCGTGCCCTGTAAGACAGAAAGTATGCAGGTCAGAGGCCCCGGATCTGATGTTTGTCGCCCTCTGTTGAGATCTGACTAATGTTACTTGTGCTTCATGTTGAACAACGTTGCTGCAAAGTCAAGTATAAATGCCTCCCTCCACCCAGAATCCAGCACCTCCTCTCCGAGTGCTCTCCAGACTAGCGGTACCAAGTGTCGCCAGCAGGTGGCGTGCCTTGTACGCATCTGTCCTGAATGCCCCTGAGTCCCCTTTCTCAGCTGTCCTACAGTTAGTTACCTTGTCTTTAGGGGAGTCGTTTTAAACTTCGCTACTTCCTTTTCCATCCTGAACCTTCACCTTGACCCAGTTACTGGAACTCGCGTGTTTCAACTGACGGTTTTCATTTAATCCCTCGGCTTTGTTTCCTGACCGAAGTGTAACTGTTTTGCCCACACTGATCTGCTCTAGAAAGCAGTGAGGCTGTGCCCTGGCCGGCCGGTGTAGCTCAGTGGTTAGAGTGTTGGCCTGTGCACCAAAGGGTGATGGGTTCCATTCCCATCAAGGGCATGTGCCTTGATGGTTGCAGGTTTGATCCCCGTGCGGGAGGCAGCCAGCCAATCAATGTGTCTCTCTCACATCGGTGTTTCTCTGTGTCTCTATGCTCTCCCCAACCCCCTAGTCTTCCACTCTCTCTAAACATCAATGGAAAAAATATCCCGGGGTGAGGCTAAAACAAGGAAGAAAGCAAAGGAGGCTTTGGTTTGTGCGTTTCTGTAGCTACAGTCCCAACCACAAGGGCCAGGTCCTGGAGGTGGAAGGCCGGGATAATCCCTCAGGCAGCTCTCACGGGATTTGTGTTTCTCTTAAAAGGGTATCTTTGAGGTGCATCCACCTCCTCCATCGGCCTCGCCTTTTATGGTGCCCGTCGGCCAGGCCAGCTCTTTCCTCCTCGGGCAGGCAGATGAGTGCTGCAGAGTGACTCATGCTCCCAGCCTCCCATCCCTCCCTGGGGCCTGCAGCTCCGTCCCTCCTACCTGTCCGCCGCTGTCCCAGCACCATTCCCCCCAGTCATTCTTACTCACTTTGGAGAGTGAATCCAACCTGTGTTCCGATTCCCGCAGCTTTTTGTTGTTGTTGTGTGTTTTGTTAATCCTCACCCAAGGATGTTTTTCCATTGATTTTCAGAGAGAGTTGAAGGGAGGGGGAGAGACGAAATGGATTTAATGATCCATTCTCATGAACATGAGAGTAAAACGTGTAAATTGCCTCCAGACTTTCCCTCCTGGAAATGCCATTTCCCTGACCCCTCTTCCGCATGTCTCTTCGGGCACTCGCACAACGTTATCTCTGAGGCGTGTTCCCAGAGTGGGACCGAGGTATGAGAGCCTGACCGTGGTTTGAGCGTCGACCTAGGAACCAGGAGGTCACAGTTCGATTCCCAGTCGGTGCACATGCCCGGGTAGTGGGCTCGATCCCCAGTGTGGGGTGTGCAGGAGGCAGCCAATTGATGATTCTCTCTCATCATTGATTCTCTCTCCCTCTCCATTCCTCTCTGAAATCAATAAAAAAAGATAACCCAAAATAGAGTATGAGAGATGTTTTCTGAGCAGAGGGGTTCCCAGTTCTGGGGAAGCACAGTGAAGTGATCACAGCGTCACCCCACTCAGTCTAGGACAGCGGTTCTCAACCTGTGGGTCGCGACCCCTTTGGGGTCAAATGACCCTTTCACAGGGGTCGCCTAAGACCATCGGAAAACACATATATAATTACATATTGTTTTTGTGATGAATCACTATGCTTTCATTATGTTCAATTTGTAACAATGAAATTGGGGGTCCCCACAACATGAGGAACTGTATCAAAGGGCCGCGGCATCAGGAAGGTTGAGAACCACTGGTCTAGGGCGTCAGACCAGACCCAGGACTAAGATGAGCAAGCCCGGTGCCCAGGACACGCACGCCATTTAAGGAGCCTTGGAAACAAGAGGCCGATTCTTGACTCCCTGGGCACATGCTTCATCCTTTATGAGCATGAGAGGAACAAGGTGATTTTTTTTCCTTTACTCAAATATCTGTGGTATTGTCTGAGTTCCCGAGGTGCAGTTCGGTGGAAAAAATCTGCAGTCATTTTGAAACTATGCAACTTGCTCCAGATTCTAGACCAGAGGTTGGCAAACTTTTTCTGTAAAGTAGGGGGGCGCGTTATTTTCTGCCCTGGGCCATGTGGATATTTATCACATCATCCATGGGCCGTACAAAATGATCAGCTTAAAAATCAGCCTGCTCTATTTGGTCAAACATGTAATTAACTCACCCCTAATGCCCCTAGGGCCAGACCTAATGATTTCAGGGGCCTTATAGGGACGTCCCAACCCAGCCCTGCTGTAAAGGCCCAGGCAGTCAGTATGTTATGCTTCATAGGCCATATGCAAAAGCAGCCACAGACAGTGTGTAAACAAGTGGGCGTGGCTATGTCCCAATAAAACTTTATGTATAAAAACAGTACATTTGACCCAAAGGCCATAGTTTGCTGATTTCTGTGTTCAGTTATGTGATCTTTGTCTCCCAGGAACCGTATTCTTTGGCTAAGTGATCTGTTACCGACCCTGTGTTCCAAAGCCTCTTCCTGTCACCAGAGATACTAGCAGGTTTTCTCTTCAGAAATAAAATACGATGCTTTCAAAGCCCAATTATTATATTCTCAGCTTCTTTAAAAAAAAAAAAAATATTTTGATTGATTTCAGAGAGGAAGGAAAAGAGAGAGAGAGAAACATCAATGATGAGCGAGAATCATGGATCGGCTGCCTCCTGCACGCCCCCCCCCCCGGGGATCGAGCCCACAACCCGGGCATGTGCCCTGACCAGGAATTGAAATGGCGACGCCCAACCAACTGAACCACACCTGCCAGGGCTAAATATCTCTTGACGCATTTGTGTACCTATAGATTAGATATAAAGGTTTTGTATAGCATACAAAGTTATTTTTGTGATTTGCTTTTTCGCTTAGAAAATGTAGTGGATGCACTTCTGCATGGATAAGTATGGATCGACATTAACTTTAATGGCTAAGTGGCATTCCGCGGTGCATGGATGTACTTACTGTAACCCGCTTGGACAAATGCCTATTGGTGCAATTTAAGTGCTTTGTTCTTTTCCGCTATTACAAAGAATGCTTAGGTAAACATTCTTACAGGCAGATCTTCTTTTCTTGCCAGAGTAACTCTTCAAGATAAATTACTATGGGCCCCCCCAGGCCAGTGTGGCTCAGTGGTTGAGTGTCGACCTATGAACCAGGAGGTCACGGTTCTATTCCCAGTCAAGCCATATGCCTGGGTTGCGGGCTCGATCCCCAATGGGGGGCGTGCAGGAGGCAGCCGATCCATGATTCGCTCTCATCATTGATGTTTCTATCTCTCTCCCTCTTCCTTCCTCTCTGAGATCCATTAAAAAATGTACATTTTTTAAAAAGTCATAGCTGGCTCAGAAATGAACCTGGACAGCAGGGATCGGAGAGCCAAATCCTCACCACCCAGACCACCCGTATTTCCAGCATTTTCCATTGCAATTAGTCTAAAAACTGTCGCTTTGGTGTTTTAGGATGTATCGGGGCCGGAGGAAATCGAAAGAAGCTCTGCCTTACTACCAAGAGGCTTTAGAACACACGGAGAGCAGCAAAGGGGAAAAGAGTCTCGAATGTGTGCCGGTGCTGAGGGAACTGGCGGGCGCAGAACGGGCCCTGAGACTCCACGACGCGTCCATCAACCACTTCCTGCAGGTGAGCTGCAGCACGCTGGCCGCCAGAGCTGGTCCAGGCCCAACGCTGTTCTTTTCCTTTTTAATATATTTTCATTGATTTCAGAGAGGAAGGGAGAGGGAGAGAGAGAAACATCAATGATGAGAGAATCATGGATCCGTTGCCCCCTGCACGCCCCCTACTGGGGATCGAGCCCAAAACCCGGGCATGTGCCCCGACTGGGAATCGAACACGGGACCCTTCAGTCTGTGGGCCGACGCTCTCACCTCTGAGAAAACCGGCCAGGGCATACTTGTCAAGTGTGACAGGCGACTTTTCTTCTTGTTTATTCTTGAGGTTCATAAAGATTAGAGAGTTTCAGTTAAGACTTGCCGATTCTTGCTCAAGAGGTCCTTTGGTGAAATCAAAATAGCATTGGATTTGGAATGGGAAGATCTGATTAAAGAAGTCACTTAACCCCTCGAGAAAAGAAAAGGAAAGGGAAGAAGACCCTCACCCACTTCACAGACCCGCTCACAGGGTCAACGGACGGCGCTTTGTGAGCCGGTGGGCGTGTCCCCTGCACAAGCTCCTTTTATGTGTCAGCAGCCGCCATTAGACCTTTATCAAGGCCCCCCTTTTCTCTAGGGACGTCCCCTAAGACACAGAAAGGTCCAGTGTGGCCACAGCTCTCGGGGGGAGCTCCTGCCTCAGAGCCATTTATTCCATCCACACAAAGAAAAGGGGCTTATTACTTCCCGTCTTGTTTGTCACTCTGCATTCCTTCGCGGGGACAAGCACCAGAGAGAAAAGACCTTTCGTTTTCTGCTGAATGTACAACAGTCCGAAGTCTTTCAGGAGCGAACCCATGCAAGTGGAGAAAAATAGAGCCAGCCCCACGAGGCCACCGCCGGTGGAATCGGACCCTGACCTCCTGGTTCATAGGTCAGCGCTCAGCCACCGAGCCACGCCGGTGGGCGCACATCAGTATTTCCGAGAGGATACACGGGGAACAGTGGGCAGCAGGGAGCTATCCGGAATCAGACTGGGTGTGGAGAGAAGAGAGAGTACGGCTAGGGACAGAAGGGAGGGGGCATTGAAGTTGTTCATTCTTTCCTACCAGTTAGACCAGCGGTTCTCAACCTGTGGGTCACGACCCCTTTGGGGGTCAAACGACCCTTTCACAGGGGTAGCCTAAGACCATCGGAAAACACATAGATAATTACATATTGTTTTTGTGATTAATCACTATGCTTTAACTATGTCCAATTTGTAACACTGAAAATACATCCTGCATATCAGATATTTACATTATGATTCATAACAGTAGCAAAATTACAGTTATGAAGTAGCCACGAAAATAATTTTATGGTTGGGGGTCACCACAACATGAGGAATTGTATGAAAGGGCCGCGGCATTAGGAAGCTTGAGAACCACTGACTTAGGGTTTTTAAAGTGACAGGCAGGTGTTCGCGTTCCTATCTAAAAGCCTAGTTAAGTGTTAAGAGAACACCTACTTGCAACCAAAACTGGATGAAAATGCAAGCCCCCGGCACATCTATTTTGGTGCTAACCCTCACCGGGGTGGCGGGCAGGGCCTTTTCTCGCCAGCCCTTTGGAGGAGCTAAAATTGACCGCTGGAGAGCTGCCACAGAGGACTCTCTCCGACTATTAAAAGAAACTGGCTCAGGCCGGGGCCCCGAGAACTCGGTTTTCTACGGCCACGGGCACCCAGCAACGTCCCAGCTACTGCCCCGGGGATTCCCAGCTCCGTCTTGCTCTTAGCTGAGGTCCCTGCGGCTGCCCCCACGCCCCTGTGGTGTGTGCGGCCCTGAAGAGCTTCCCTATAGCGAGCCCAGGGCAGAATCATAAACATGATTCCGTTGGCATGGGGAACGGGGCAGGTTCGCCTCTCTCTCTTCCTCTCCCCAGACACTGACCATGAGGCCCCTTGACTCCATCCCCGTGGCCCCTGCTGTCTTCACTCACAGGGCGTCGCTTTCCGGGGCGCTTGCTATTTGAAAAGCATCTCAGTCGGCCCTTCAGGCCAGATCGGAGAGGTGGGGGAGGGAGGGGATGGGAGGGAAATGACTAATTGGGGCATTGCCAAGACCACTTTCTCCCATTTGTTTCTACGCTTTAATAACAAAAGTAGTGCCCAAACAAGGGATATTATTAGCATTTAAGAATATGAAATTCTGATGGTCCTAACACAGCCATGAGAGTTATGACCAGCAACCTTGGTGTGGAGTAGCCCCTATCATAACAAGTCTAGAGCTACCGCCCACTGCCCAGCCGGTGTGGCTCAGTGGCTGAATATTGACCCATGAGCCAGAGCCAGGAGGTCAGGGTTCGATTCCCGGTCAGGGCACATGCCCAGGTTGTGGGCTCAGTCCCCAGTGTGGGGCGTGCAGGAGGCAGCCGATCCATGATTCTCTCTCATCATGGATGTTTCTCTCTCTCTCCCTCTCCCTTCCTCTCTGAAATCAGTAAAAACATGTTAAAAAAATATATATATATAAAGTGTGCAGCTTAAATATCAGTTGTGATTCCTGTGTTTGGCCTCGTGTTTCTGTCCTTGAAACGCGTGGTATTTTGGTCTTTCTGTTTGGGGCAGTTTGTGGAGAGCTCCCTGCCCTCTCGCAGTAGTGCCTTGTGTGACTTGGTGTTTCTGTCTGTTTCTTCCTCTACCGCCCTACTTTCTGGCCCACTCGTGTCCTGTAGCGGGCGACCTGTAAGTACCTGTGTATCGGATCAATGGACACACGTTACTTATAGGCATTTGTAAAACTCCCCCTGCCGATGGGCAGGTGAGAAGTGACTTTACCGTTTCATCCGCGCCTGTATTTTACATCTTTTTACTTGAAGCGATGCACTTTGTATTTTACTTGCAAGGATCCATTATTATTTCATGTCCCCCGGATCATAGGGTTGTGTTTTTTCCCGAAGGAATTGAAAAATCGGCTTTATTTTTAAGGCAGGGGCGGTGGTGGGGGGAGACCCCGTGCTGAGCTGACCAGTGGGTGGAGGGTCAGGGCTAGCCCACTTCCTCTGCACAGCACTGGCCCCCCCCCTTTTTTTTCTTTTTAAATCCTCACCTCAGGATATTTTTTTCCATTGATTACTAGCGCGTGGGAGGGAAGGAGGAAAGAGAGATGGAAGGAGGGGAGGAGTGGGGAGAGAGAAAGAGAGAGAGAAACATCGACATGAGAGAGACATTGATTGGTTGCCTCTGCACTTGCCCCTACTGGGCCTGGGGGACCCGGAACCCAGATATGTGCCCTTGACCAGGAATCGAACCCACTACCCTTTCGTCTCAGGGTTGATGCTCTAACCATTGAGCCAAACCCTCCAGGGCCGCACTGGCCTTTTTAAATCCATCTCCTTCCTCCTGTGAGGCCCTCCCACCTCCTCTGCCCACACCCCTCTCCCAGGAGCAGAGCCTGTGAAGTAATTTGCTTAGCGATGGGCCCTGGCCTCTGGCCGCAGCCTCGAGCCCTTGGGGACTCGGTGCCCAGTGCTTTCCGGCTCCCTCCACACAGCACTGTTAAGATCCACCTCTCCCAGAGCACATCGTTGCCTCCACATCCATCACACTGTCCAGCGGGCTAGAATGTTCCTTGGCGTCCTTATTGCCACGAGAACAGCGAGTCCCCTGGCGCTGCTGCCAAGCATGGAAACCAGCCTGTTCCTTCTTCCCACGGCGACAGGCGCATCTCATCGTCCTGAGCGCAGAGCCGTCCGGAGAGGAGGCAGCGGAGTCCGCGCGCTGTGTCGCCCGCGCCGCCGCGGCTTCCGGGAGGCCCGAGCACCACGGTGAGAGCCGCCTTCCGTGGCTGGGTGGGTGGGTGAGCGGTGGGCGCTGCCCGCTGCCCGCCTGGCCTGCACACGTCGGGGCCTTGGGGATGGGCGAGCAGGTGGACGGAGCTGTGACGCAGGCCCTTCGGGGAGCGGCCGAGGCGTTAGCCAAGCATCTTAGCACCACCGGGTCCTGGGTGTCTCCCTGTGCGGCCTGCCTCCAAGCTTTGGTTTTCAAATACAGCGGGTCTGCACCCGAATGTAGGTGGTAAAGAGCCCGAGGGAACCCGGCTGGGCGCCCAGGGAGGTCCGCTCTGCTTTCAAAGGTGATCAGCTTTTATTTTTAAATATGTTTATCGATTTCAGAGATGGAGAGAGAGAGAGATAGGAACATCCATGATGAGACAGCGATAGTAACATCATTGTCTCTCTCGCATCGATGTTTCTCTCTCCCTCCCACCCTCTCTCTAAAATTCAGTGGAAGACAATATCCTCGGGCAAGTCTTAACAACAGCAAAAAAGTTAAGGCCAATAAATGCAAGGCAAAAATAAAAAAGACTAATTAATGAGAACAAAAAAATCTCCTTTGGGGCATCTTCCCTAGCCTGCCTGCTGATTGCCCATGCAAGGCATTGCCCTCTGATGAAAAAATGTCGCTGGCCCAGCAGCCAGCGCGCATCACGCTAATCCCTTCGCCCGAGCCTCCCCCGCATTCCTTATGCAGACAGCTCTGCCTAGAAGCCAGGCGGGACCCGGATTGCATCAGGCCTCCCCCAGCAGCCCCCGGACCGGGGCCAGGCCGGCTTCCCAGGGCCGCCGTCGACAAACTTGGTATCAACAGCTCTCCCAGCGCCGCCTGCCAGGGGGTCAGGGCTCTTAACTCTCCTCGAGAAGGATGTGAGGATGAAGTGGGTGGAAGCCAAGTTCATGTCAGTGTAAACCTTCCAGAGGCCGAGCACGGCGGCCTTGTTTGGAAGTGGCCCCATCTGCCTCCGGGCTCCAGGGGGCCGGGCAGCGCCAGGCACCTCCGAACGGAACGGGCTCTGTCCCATCGGAGCCTCCGGGGCGGGGGTGGGTCCCTGGCTCCATGAACTGGACTCATGAGCGTGGGGTGCATTCTTTTTTGTTTGTTTTTTTTAAAACCCTCACCCGAGGATATTTTCCCATTGATTTTTTAGAGAGAGTGTAAGAGAGAGGGAAAGACAGAAACGTCAATGTTGAGAGAAACTCATCGATTGGTTGCCTCCTGCACGTGCCCCGACCAGAGCCGGGGCCAGGGAGGGGCAGGGGAGGGCCTGCAACTGAGGTACGTGCCCTTGACCGGAATCGAACCCGGGACCCTTCGGTCCACAGGCCAGCGCTCAGTCCACTGAGCCACACCGGCCAGGGCTGGGGTGCATTCTTGAGGTATAGCTCCCTGTGCACCAATATGTCCCCGGCTCCCACGTGGCCTAGCCTCTCCCCACATTTCGCACAGTAGACGGGAAATATGAAAGCATCAGAACCGAGGCCCTGGATCTTGATGAAGTCTCCTCTTTTTCACCCTACACCCGCCTCCCTTTTCTCCACTCTTCCTCCTGTGGCCTGCCTTCTCCGCCGGCCCCAGGCTGGGCCCGGCTCCCTGTTGTCTGGGTTACTGATGCTCCTTGCGTCCCGTGTGCCCTAGAGACACCGGAAGTCAGGCAGCCCCTGGCGTCCTCGTGCACTCAGCTCCGATGGGCTCCTGACAGGGGTCCTTCACCTCTTCCCGTGGCCCTCCTTAGCTGCCCCTGCTGCTAGACACCACACCCCACCTCTCTCCCCTCCTCCTCCTTCCTCCCTCCCCGGCCTCCCCACCCTCTTGACCCCCCTACGCTCTGAGAGGGCCTGCCTCAGCTCCTCCTCAGGGCCCGTCTCTCATTACGAAATGCCCAGCCAGCCCGAGCCTGGCCTGCCTCTGTGCTCCCCAAGCAGATGTCAGCATCCATGTGTTTTTTTAAAATATACACTGAGTGGCCAGATTATATTGGCCACCCCATCAGTGCTTCATTGACACCTCCAAAAACACTGAGTACTGGAAACTTCCTAAGCAAACACTCTCCAGGTTTTATTATTTGCATAACTAATTCACTTCATTGTACTGATGGGGTGGTCATAGGAATCTGGCCGGTCATAGTAATCTGGCCACTCGGTGTATTTTTATTGACTTCAGAGAGGAAGGGAGAGGGAGAGAGAACCGTCAATGATGAGAGAGAATCGTGGATCAGCTGCCTCCTGCACGCCCCACACTGGGTGGGGACCGAGCCACGCCCCAGCCCAGCCCTGCGATGCCCTCCGGGCACGCCCAGCAGGATCTAAATGGGTTCAGTCTGCTTGCTGGGTGATGTGCTCCTCGGGGTTCATGCCAAGCTGGGCTCTAAGACTTTCCGTTTTCAAATTCCCTGGGGTCCTTAATGCTTTAGCACAGAGTGCAGAGTCTTTCCCAAGACCATCACAAAAGACCATTGTTGCCGCTACTCACAGGCCTCCCTTTAAGTGAAAGCTGCCCAGAGAGTTACAGGAATTGTTGGTGGTGGTTTAATCTATTTTTTAAATATATTTTAATTGATTTCAGAGAGGAAGGGAGAGACAGAGAGAGAAACATTCATGATAAGAGAGAATCATGGATCTGCTGCCTCCTGCCCGTCCCCTACTTGGGGATCGAGCCCACATCCCGGGCATGTGCCCTGATTGGGAGTCAAACCCTGACCCCCTGGTTCCCAGGTTGACTCTCAACCACTGAGCCACGCCCGCCAGGCTACAGGGATTGGTTTTAATTAAAGCCTCCTGCCCCGCCGTGTGCCGAGTCGTGACCCTGTATTCCTCATGCTCTCTGAGTGAAGTCACACAGACGGAACAGAGTCTGACGGGCCTGTGAGGAGACCGTACACCATGGGGCCACACTTCCTCCCTCGCCCTGACGTGCAGACAGCCTGGCCAGTCTACGGGAGTGAAAAGGGGAGAAGATTGATGGCCTTGACCTGTGCCCCGAGGGCTCAGGTTTACAGCTAAGTCATGTTCCCCTGCTTAGGAGAGTGACTCATCCGCTGCCCAGGCCAGGGCCTTGGGTTGCTGAGGATTCTAGAAGAGGTGTTTCGGTGGTGGTGGTGGTGTTTTTTTATTGAGGGTTGTGTTTGTTTAAAATATTTTAAAAATATATCTTTATTGATTTCAAAGAGGAAGGGAAAGGGAGAGAGAGATGGAAACATCCATGATGAGAGAGAATCATGGCTCAGCTGCCTCCTGCACGCCCCCTGCTGGGCATCGAGCCCACAACTGGGAATCCAACCGGTGACCTCTTGGAATCAACCGCTAAGCCACACCAGCCGGGAAAGATCCTTGCTCTTCAAGGAGGGCTTGGTTCCGTGCTTCAGTTCATTTCCAATTAGACAGAAAACAGAACTCTCCGGCGTACTCTACTTGCTGGTTTTGAGACGTGGAATGTTGATGTCGGTAATGCCTTCAGAGCCAACAGAACAAATGCCACGTCATGCCCCGGTCGCTGTCATCCGATCATCGACGCAGGCAAAGTGAACGCAGAGTTTGAGCATTAAATTGCGATGAGTCAGCTGCAAGTAAAAGGGAAGGAAGGAATACTTTCCAGGCAGTAGAATTTGCTCCTACCAAGAGAAAATTAAAAAGTGGAGTAATACTCTAGAAATGTAGAAATGTACAGACACCACCACCACCACCCCTCCCCCATTGGCTCAGTGGATAGAGCGTCGGTCCTCGGACTGAAGGGTTCCAGGTTCGATTCCTGGTCAAGTGCACCTACCTCGGTTGCAGGCTCGATCCCGGCCTGGGTCGGGGCGCATGCAGAAGGCAACTAATTGATGTGTCTCTCTCACATCGATGTTTCTCTGTCTCTCTTCTTCCCTTCCACTCTCTATAAAAATCAGTGGAAAAATATCCTCGGGTGAGGATGAACAGAAAAGAAAAGAAGGAAGAGTCTCTTTGAGCAGCCTGCAAACTTGCCGTTACCTTGCATGACCACATCCCTGGGAGAGCTAAGCTTTCTGAAAAAAGGGAGGAAAGTAAATGGCCATGTCCTTCTGAGATCCGAATCTTTTCTGATGAAACAGGCAGCTGAACGGGCAGACGGCAGCCTCCCCAACAGGGTCCTCTTACCCGAGTGCTTATTATGTTCAAATAGTTCGCCGCGCTACAAGCGTCTCTGTGGTTTCCATTCAAATCCCCGAGCCGTTTTCACAGTTGTCCCGATGCTTTGCTTCAGATGTGGCCGAGCGGTACTTCCGAGAGAGCCTGGCTCACCTGAAGGATGCGGAAGGGATGGGGAAAGCCAAGTTTCTCTCGGTTCAAGACGAATATTGCCATTTTCTGCAAGGCGCCGGGCAAGAGGAGGTGAGTGAGTTTGGGCCACAGCTGGCCGGTCATCTGCATGGGCGACCCAGCTGATACCCACAGGGCTACACAACTCCCTCGCTCTGCGAGCATCCAGTAGGCGTCTACTTTGTGCGAGGCATGGATGAGTAAGGCCACGTGGCCACTGTCAGGCAGTGAGTTACATCATTTTCTTTCTTTTTTAGTATATATATTTTTTTATTTCAGAGAAGAATGAAGAGGGGGAGAGAGAGATGGAAACATCAATGATAAGAATCATTGATCGGCTGCCTCCTGCACACCCCCTACTGGGGATCGAGCCCACAACGGGACATGTGTCCTGACAGGGAATCAAGCCATGATCTCCTGGTTCCCAGGTCCACGCTCGACCACTGAGCCACACCAGCCGGGCTACCTCATTTTCTTAATGGGCACTGATCTTCGTCAGCTTTGGAGCATGTTTTTAACCAGACAGCTTTGTGTCCCTTTCGCAGAGAGCGACCTCGATCCTGAGAGAGTCCCTGGAGGCCAAAGTGGGGGCGTTTGGTGACCTCAGTCCTGAGGTGGCGGAGACCTACCGGCTCCTGAGCGGCGCCGACCTGGCGCAGGGGAACCACAGCGGGGCCCACAAGAAACTGAACAAGGTAAACCTGGGGCCGGCACGAATGCAGAGAGAAGCCCTCCCCCCCTCCTCCCTCCCACGGGTCGTCTTCTCTCCCTCCCCATGCTCTTTTTACTTTTATATTTTTAAAAATATACTTTGATTGATTTCTGAGAGAATGGGAGAGGGAGAGAGAGATGGAAACATCAATGATGAGAGAGAATCATGGATCGGCTGCCTCCTGCACACCCCACACTGGGGATGGAGCCTACAACCCGGGCATGTGCCCTGACCGGGACTTGAACCGTGGCCTCCTGGTTCATAGGTCGAGGCTCAACCACTGAGCCACACCGGTCAGGCCACCATGCTCTTTTTAAATGGACCTTTCTAAGTGGTTTATTTAGGAAAGATTACTTCACTTTCACAGTTGATCTAAACTAACACTTTTTCGGTAAAAGATACAGTAATCCTCTTATACAAATATATATATATATATATTAATGAATTATTAATTATTTTTACTATGTAAATACATTTTTAATTTTTATGGAGTTTAATTTATCTGTCTTTTATTGTACTCTCTGTGCACACAGTTTATAGAGGAATTTTTTTGTGTCCTTCTAGTACTTATATATTTAGTTCTTTTTTTATTTGAATGTATTGGGGTGACATTGGTTAATAAAATTATGTAGGTTTCAGGGGTACAATTCTATAATACATCATCTGTACATTGTATTGTATGGTCACCCCAAGCCAAGTCTCTTTCCCTCACCAGTTTCTTCTTGAATTTGGAGTTCATTTGCCTGGATGGTGTGAGGTACAGATATAATGTTTTCTGTTTTTTGTTTTCTAAATGGCTACCCAGTTGTCCAGCACCATTTTACTAAAGAGCCCAGTGGTCTGGGATAACACCTTCACCATAGACCACATTTCCACATGAACTTGAGTCTGTTTCTGGATTTCTCTTCTACTCCACTGATGGCTTTGTGTGTGTGAATGCCAGTTCCTCGTTGGTTTTTAATTTAGAGATCTCATAGCAGGGCTCGGTAGCTGGGAGGACTAGACACCACTCGTGGTTTCTCTGACTCTAGAATTTCTGGTTTCCCAGGTCTTCTAGCCTGTGTGTGTGTGTTTGTTTTTCCACATGAATTTTAATGTGAACAGCTTGTCTCGCCAAATACAAAGTTGGGTGGTATTTTCTGGAGGATGGTGTTACTTATAAGTGAACTTAAGGAGTGCTGACAGCTTTATGGTGTGGAGTCATTTTATTCCAGAGCAGGGATGTCGTTATCCTTGTTGGTGTCCGCTTTTGTCTCATTTAGGCCCGTTTCTAAAGTGCCCCTTTATCCTGGGTTTTGCACAATTCTTACCCGGTTGATTTCTAAGCATTTTATCTCCTTTAATACTGTTGTCTGTGGAGTTGTATCTGCTGTTATTCTTCCGCCTGGTCACTCTCGTGTATGTGAAGACGACTGGTTTCTCTGTGTGGATTTTATGTGCTGCTGCTTGCTTAATGCTTCTCCTGCCTGAGTTAATTGGAGCATTCTCTCGGGTTTCCAGGGTATCCTATTACTTCATCGGCAAATGGTTTGACTTTTTGTTTTTCAGCCCTGGTGGCTCTGCTTGACTTCTCTTGTCTCATCACGTCGGTTCCTACCAACAGGACAATAGTGGATGGTAGTGGAGGTAGCGGGCGCCCTTGTCTTGCTCCTGATCTTACTGGACATGCCTCTAGGCCAGTGAGGGCGAACCTTTTGAGGTCGGCGAGTCAGCATTTTGAAAAACCCTAACTTAACTCTGGTGCCGTGTCACGTATAGAAATTTTTTGATCTTTGCAACCATAGTAAAACAAAGACATATTTTTGATATTTATTTTATATATTTAAATGCCATTTAACAAAGAAAAATCAACCAAAAAAATGAGTTCGCGTGTCACCTCTGACACGCGTGTCCTAGGTTCGCCATCACTGCTCTCATGAGTCTTCATTCAGTAGATGCTGGCTTTGGGACTAAGGTTTATGTATTTTTATCATGTTAAGGAAGTAGACATCCCATGGTTTTTTGTGTTTGTTTGTTTTTAATTAGAAGTAAGTGTTGGATTTTATCAAATGTTTTTTTAGCATCGGTGGAGATAATCAGATGACTCTACTTAGAATCACTTCATATGGTATATTTTATTCTAGTATCAAACCAACCTTGCATTCCTGGAATAAATGTGCTGGGTTATACTGAATTATAGTCTTAATGTGAAGTTGGTTCTGCCTGCTAATGTTTATTTTACGATTTTTGCACCAATATTTATAAGTGATATTTAAGTATCAATGTTATATTTGCTTCATAAAAATAATTTGGAAGCTTACCTTTATTTTTATTTTTTTAACTTTTTTATGGAATGTATTGGGATGACGTTGGTTAATAAGATTATGTAGGTTTCAGGGGTGCGGTTCTCTAATGCATCATCTATATTGTATTGTTCGCTCACCACCCCACATCAGGTCTCCTTCCTTACTTTTATTTTCTATGCCCTGAAGGAATTTATGCAGCATTAAAACTATCGAGTGCTTGAAGTTCTGCACTTCCTGTGAAACTCTTTAGGTCTTTTAGGGGGAAATTCCTTGACAGTTTTCTGTATTATACAAAAAATTGATTTGTTGAAGTTTTTGATCTTTAATGGGGTCATTTTGATGTATTTTTCTAGGTAATTATTTCATTTACATTTACATATTGATTTGTGTAGAGATTTACAACGTAGTCTCGAGAATTTTTAAAATTTTTACTTTTTAAGTAGTTGCATTCCCATTGTAACATTTCAGCTTTACATTTGGATTTCTCTTTTTTTTTTCTGGACTGGGTTGGGAGGGAGGGGGAGTAGGGAGGAGAGGTTTAGGGAAGGTGTATAATAAGTAGTCCTGAAAGAGTGTAGCCTGGGGGAGGCCAGCATCCCCAGGTTGGAAATGGGGTGAAGAGGAGTCTGGGGGGCTGGAGGGTACAACCCTTTTAAGAAGCAGAGAGTGACTGGGGAGGACTGTCTGTCGGGGAGCACCCGGAAGAGGTGTGCAAGGCTCTGGGCGGAGTTCCTAGGTCAAGGGGCTGAGACTTGATCCTTTAGGTGACTGTCCCAACCATGGGCTCTGAGGCCGAATCCAGCCCACTCCCTCGAATGGCCCATGAGTTTGCTCTTTTTTTAAATTTCTTTTTAATATTTATTTTTATTGATTTCAGAGAGGAAGGGAGAGGGAGAGTGAGAAACATCCATGGTGAGAGAGAATTATCGATCGGCTGCCTCCTACACGCCCCCTACTAGGAATCGGGCCGGCAACCCGGGCATGTGCCCTGACCGGGAATCAAACCGTGACCTCCTGGTTCCTAGGCCCACACTCAACCACTGAGCCACACCGGCCGGGCTGGCCCAGAAGTTTAAAATGGTTTCTACCGCCGGCCGGCTGGAGGGGGATCCGGTCGTGCACCCATGACGCATCTGTCTGTCCTCTGAACATTTATGTTGCAGTTGTCCTGGAGGAAGATGATGGTAGCTTGCTCCATGACAGTGGCCAGGGGATGGAGCAGAGTCGTGGGGGAGTCGAGGGGTGTCGCTAAGGATAGAGAGCTCACGGCACTTGGCAACGCAGAGGTGAGGAGGGCACTTGGCAACGCAGAGGTGAGGAGTGAGGGTGCGGCCAGGACGGCACCCGGGCTTCCCAGGCTCGGGGAGAGCAGTGGAGTGAGTGGCAGCGCCTGTGCCCCCCACCCCCCCCTTTCTCGCTCATCTCCACGTCCCTCCTCGTTCCCGCCTCACCTGTTTTCCCCTCACGGGAACCTTCCTCCCTCCTGTGCACAGCTCAGAATTAGTGTTCCTCCAGGTAAGGGAGCTGCAGGGGGGTGGGGTGTGCATGTGAGAGAGGAAGAGCGAGAGAGAGAAAGGCACCTGCCTGAAACCCCACCCCCACCATCACCTCCCACCAGGTGCTCCTCACCTGGCTGACCCCCCTCCCCATCCTGTGGGTCTCCATTTGAATGTGAGGCCTCACCGGCCCAGGTACCTCTACCACCACCAACCTCTCCTCATTTTATTCTTTCACAGCCCCTGTTCTTTTCTTCTTTTTTAAAAAAAATTTATTTTTTTAAGATTCATCTGGATACTCAGGATTTCAGGGTTTTGTCCACTTACAGAAAAGTGAGGAACTCCCCCTTGCGGCTGGTTTCCAGCAGGGGCTTCCCTGGAGGAATCGAGAAAGCCCAGAAAACCTCCCACGTGGTGGGAGCTGTTCTCCCGCAGGCGTCTGGGGCTTCTTTGACTTTGCTCAGTGAGCTGTTCGCAGCGCCTGGCTCCCAGTCGGTCCCGTTAACATCTGCTGGCTTTGTCTCCCTTGAATCAATGTCAGTGTCAAGGTCTTTCTTTATCAGAAGAATCCAAGTGCATCCTTCGCACCCAGTGCTTTAAAGCACATTTCGCTAAGAGCAGCAGAACATCGAAAAATCCAACTTCTGGATCTTAGAGTCACGTGGCTACTCAGCTTCGGACTCAGTTGCCCAGCTTCGGAAAACGCTTTCCGGGAAAAGCCAGGAAGGGGTTATGTCGCTTTAGAAGGAAAACCATTTCCGTTCCCGGGTGGACCATGTTTCCCGTCTTGGCATCTGGTACGGCGGCCTCCGTGGGCGCTGTCATCACACAGGGATGACCCCGGGGCCAGGGGTGTTCCTCTCTCTCCCGGCTGGCATCCCTGAGCACCTCTCTCGCATCAGCTAGAACTTTGAGCAGATCTGCTTAGTGAGGATAAGTAGCCCTTTTTAAAAAGAAATCGATTAATTCCAGGAAAGCAAGAGTCCGGATTGGCGTCGAGGAGATGGGAGGGAGCTAGGGCTCACCTCTCTCTGGACTGATTCTTAGAAAGGGACATTTTATCCAACCATGATCCACTCTCCCTCCTAACGCAGTGCCCGCAGGGAAAACGATGAGCGCCCAAGGTCAAGGGTAGAGGGACAACTGGTAGGATACCATCAGCTGCCTTCTTCTGGGGGGTGGGCGCCTGAGCTCACTGCCTGATAGAAGACATAAAACATGACCCCCAGGAAGTGCCCACTTCTGCCCCTGCCCGCCCCATACCAGATGACTGCTCCCCTGCATTTGACATCATTCCCACACTGTATTTTACTGTGGTTTTCTTTTACGTGTTTTTTTTAAGCTTCATATAAAATATATATAAAATGTGCCTATATTATCTATAATTTGCATTCACCTGCAATTTGCTCTTTTCTGCCTATAATCCTGAGATTCACCTACATGGACACACACACACCAGAAATGTGCATGATATCACGCATGTACAGTCCATGCGCATGTTACAGGTTGCTCATCCATTAGCCGAATCGCCAAATGGCTCTGTCACTCTATCTGAAAGCGTGCTTGCTCATGCGTGTTCTTTGACAGACCTTGGTTTTCCGTGATCAGACAATACGTTTTGCAATCTGGCAGGTGAAGGGCAACTTCAGAGAAGTTTTAGGTTGGGTTTCTGGTTACTGGTGAGGCTGGGCATGCTTGTCCGCTGTTCTGGTTTTCCAGGTCTTTGAATCATCCTCTTACATCTTGTGCTCACTTTTCCGTAGGGAGGTTGTGTTCGTCTCTCATCGCCTGGTGGGAGTTCTTGACCTATTCTGAATGCTAATCCTTTCTCCGCTTTATGCAATGTTTCCCCCCAGTCTGTATCCTTTGCCTAAGCTGAATTTCGGTGCACAGGTATTTTGAGTTTTAATGTAGTTAAATTTTATAAATCAAATCTTTGGGTTTGTCCAGATCTTGTCCAAGAACTACTTCTGCATAAAGATCGTCTTCAATATTTTCACCTAAACATTCCACGTTTTACATTTCGTATTTAGCTCTTCAATCAGCCCGGTATTCACTGTTGGGCTTGGTAATGGGGCAGGGGTCCATTTCCTTCCGGTTCCATTCATTGACGAGTCCAGCTCTCCCTCGCCAACCCCTCAAGGTCACTTCTCTCCTGTCATCTGTCATGTGTTGGGCTCTCTGCCATGTCCCATTGGTCTCCCTTTCTGCCCCTGGATGAGGACTGCACTGCTTTCATTACTATCTATGAAAATGAAAGTGTACTATGCTAATTAGACCAGACGTCCTTCTGGATGATCTTCCGTACAAAGCCGGGGCTTCGAGGGAAGCCAGAGGGAAGCCAGTGCTGGCCGCCGGGGGAAGGAAGGCCTACTCTTGCATGAATTTCGTGCATCGGGCCTCTAGTAGTTTTATAAAGATGGTGACAGTAAAGCAGTTTCTTCCACCTTCTTCTTCTTCAAAATTACTTGGCCCGTTTGGGGGCACAAATTGAATCTTTATCTTCCCCCTGAGTTTTCCCTGGCCAGGTACAAGCAGTCAAGTGGCAGGATAATAAGCAGAATAAAGCTGAGTCTTTTAACTCCTCAATCAATGACTCCCTAGGAAATTGCAGTGTAGTAACGATTACAGAGAGCCCATGGAAAATAAAACAATAGTTTATTGATTTGGAGAGAGCGAGGAAGGGAGAAGAGAGAATCATCGCCGTGAGAGAGTGTGACATGGATCGGCTGCCTCCTGCACACTCCCTCACCCTCTACTGGGGATCCAGCCCACAACCCGGGCATGTGCCCTGACCTGGGAATCGAACCTGCCACTTCTGGGTGCACAGGACGGTGCCCAACCAGCTGAGCCACACTGGGCAGGGCACAGAACTTTTTTTTTTTTTAATGTGTCTGGGCTGTAGCAAGGGTCATTTAAAAATAGAAACTGCACACCATCCTCTCCTGAATACCAATTCTCTTGCCTTTATTTTTAAAAATATTACTTTTTAAACATATTTTTGCATACAGGTTGTCACAGAGGGTTCTGTAAAACAGTGCTAGAGCTGTACACTTGTTTCCAAGATCCCTCGGAACATCCAAGTTGAAGGTCAGACTGCCCCTAGCATTCACGGTGAAGGTCAGACTGTCCCTAGCATTCAGTGAAGGTCAGACTGTCCCTAGCATTCACAGTGAAGGTCAGACTGTCCCTAGCATTCACAGTGAAGGTCAGACTGTCCCTAGCATTCACGGTGAAGGTCAGACTGTCCCTAGCATTCAGTGAAGGTCAGACTGTCCCTAGCATTCAGTGAAGGTCAGACTGTCCCTAGCATTCACGGTGAAGGTCAGACTGTCCCTAGCATTCGTAGTGAAGGTCAGACTGCCCCTAGCATTCACAGTGAAGGTCAGACAGGGGTCTGTGACAAGCATTCTTTCTCCCATTCATGGGAGCCTTGTCCGCCTGCTAAGTGCTCCCCGTGACATTTCACACCCTCACGATGACTGCTTGGTGTTCTGCAGTGTCTCCAGATTCAGACCCTCCTGTACGGACCGCAGGACAGGCGGACGCTGGCCACCCAGCAGGCCCTGGACGTCCTGTCCAAGTGAGTAGGTGTTCCCTCGCTGTTCCCCTGGGCACCTCACTCCTCGGTAGTCCGGAACCCCCCAGGAAGCCGGGTCTGTAGGGTTCTGGGGGACTGTCCGTGCGTGGAGAGCTGTACCGACTTCCTGTTACTCAGACACCAGGCAAGACCAGCTCCTTGGAAGCCCAGCTGTAAAATACCTTCCGCTGGAACCTGCCTGGGGCTCCCCTGCGCTCTTGGGGTGCCTGTCGCGATGGGATCCTGAGAGCCCTCTGACTTCACCCAGATCTTTCTTTTCTTTAAAATTGAAATTCTGGTATTTTATTTTTTAATGTGTTTTTTATTTCAGAGAGGAAGGAAGAGAGAAAGAAAGAAACATCAATGATGAGAGAGAATCATTGATTGGCTGCCTCCTGCACGGCCCCACACGGGGGATCAAGTCCACAACCCGGGCCTGTGCCCTGACCAGGGTCGAACTGTGACCTCCCGGTTCACAAGTTGACGCTCAACCCTGAGCAAAGCCAGCCGGGCCCCCCACATCCTTCTTAGGAGGCCCCAATTCTGCTGTGGCGGCTCCCCACCTCGCAGAGCCTGTTCCCAGAGGGCCCCTGGACGGGCTGCCAAATCCGCACTCATGGGAGCTCCCGATGCGGACATAGCCGGCAGGGGGCGCTGTTCTGTGCTCCAGGTCCATTACCCCAGGGAAGATGAGCCACTAAGGCAGGGGTGGGGAACGTCCGGCCCGCGGGCCATATAAGGCCCAGGAAATCCTTTGGTCTGGCCCTGCCAAGGCATTAAGGATGAGTTAATTAAATGCTGGACCCAATATGGCAGGCTCATGTTCGAGTGGATCATTTTGTACGGCCCACGAAGGATGCTATAAACATCCAGATGGCCCCGGGCAGAGAGAAGGTCCCCACCCCTGCACTGAGGCCTCCAGCCCAACCTTCCTGCTCCTGTTCGGCTCCCTCAGGGTTGACTCTCGGCTCGAGGGAAGGGTCGCAGGCATGAGAAAGCTCCAGAAAGCACCTTGCCTTTTAGGTCCCTGAGCCACGGTTCTCCTCCCACCCGCACCCCCTCCCGAGGCTCCTCCATGAAATGGAACCGGGCAGCTGCTGGGCTGTCCCACAGCACCGGGGGGTGGGGGGTGGGGCAGGGGTCCGAGGGGCACCCCACTCACCACCCTCCGCTTGCTCGCAGGGCCCCCGAGATGGCCACCGTGAAGCTGAGGTCGGCCCCGAGGGCCAGACCGACTTTCTGCACTGGCGTGGCCCAGCACGCGGCGCCCAGGAGGGCCAGGCCCCACGTGGCGGACTGAGACCCACCGCACCCCAGGACAGCTCGGGCAGGCGCGGGTGCTGGCGACACGCCTCCCCAACCGGGAGGTGGCATCAGCAGGCACCCCGCGACCCCTCAGGTGGGCTGGGCGCCCCCCCCCTCCACGCCTCCGGGCCCCTGTGACGGTGCGTGGCCTTTCCTGGCCTCTGGTGCTCCCATAAGCAGTTTCCGTTTTACCTCCTAAGTGATTCTTTGTGCCAACAAATGCCTTTACCCACCGGCACGACTGTGGCCCGAGAGCTCCTCTCGAAAAGGCGGGGAAATGTCGGCACCTCACTGCGCGTACACAGCCCTCGGCCCAGGTCGGGAGTCCGGTTTGGAGTTCAGTTCTGGGAAAAGCCCTCTCTGACGGGAAGGTAATAGGGATGGAGAATAAAAGGCTGATAAAAGGAGGCTTGAAGGTGCTGGAGTCAGTGTGTGGGCGGTGCTTCCTCCCCCCGACCCCCGCTCTTCCCCAGGCTGCAGGCTGGTGCCAGGATCACAGGCTGCCCTTGCCCCAAAGCACTGGTTTCATCTGTGAGGGAGGCCACCTCCGGAATCCACGGGGAAACCAACCAAAAAGATCCGAGTGACAGGGCGTTGGGAGGCAGGGTCCCTTGTCCTCCTCAGGCTGGTGACAGCGACCACACAACCCTCTCATACCCCCCTCCCTCTCCCCTCCCCCACTTCCCCCAGACAGGCCTGTGGAATGAAGGCCGCGTGGGAAGAAGGGGCGAGAAGTCACCACTCGCCGAGTGTCCCATCTCCCGCCACCAGGCTCCCTGGCGGTGACGGTGAGGTTCTCACCACACACCGTCCAGTCCTATGTGAACACCAGCCACGGGGCCTACGCTCCGTCCGCCACGCGTTCTCGCTCTGTGCTAACCGTGTCAAGTCCTGGCTGAATTCAAGAACGAGCTTTTCACATGGGTTCCGCAGTGGCTCCGGGCCATCATGAAAAGCACGCATGTGAACACGTTTTCATTAGCGTGTAAACAGGAACCCCCCCCCCCCCCCCCCCGCCGACATTCATTCTCTCGAGTGGCAATGCCAGGGTTTTTGTTGTTTTCTTAGATTTTTATTTTTACACGTTTTGTGACATTTCCCTTCGCAGGGAGCAGGTTAGCAAGGGAAGCCTTTTAGATGAGGCCATCCTCAATATACATTGTAAACAAACAATATCGAAGCAGCCCGCGGGAAGGTGAGAAGCAGTCCATGAATACTATTAAGGCAAAACAACAGTAAATAGGAAAAGACCGCATCCTCACCCCAAAGCTATGCTCACTTATTTCTCCTCCAGTTATCGGTGACGAAGACCAACTCTCCCTAAACGTTCCTTGAAGCCGGGGAGATGCGCGTCTCGGGGGCCTGAGGACCGTCCGTGTGAAACCCATAGGGGAGAACTGTCAATGCCACCCTCACCCCTGAGGCCATGACCTACCTGAGGGTGATGCCATCTGGCTCATTCCTCTGTGCACTCCGGGCAGCTCTATGGTACTGTTAGAAAAAGCGTAGCCTAGGCAACATCGTGGGAAGGAAACCAGCTTGGATTACAATGTGCTGGGGGGTGTGAGATCCTAGCTTTAACGTGACGTTACACCTTTAAAGATCGAAGCTTTCAGCCCGGCCTGCACAGCTCAGTGGTTGAGCGGCGACCTATGAAGCCAGAGGTCACGGTTCGATTCCCAGGCAGGACTCATGCCTGGATTGTGAGCTCCATCCCCAGTAGGGGGCGTGCAGGAGGCAGCCGATCCATGATTCTCTCCCATCGAACAATTATTCTCTCCCATCAATGTTTCTCTCTCTCTCTCTCCCACTCTGAAATCAATAAAAATATATTTTTAAAAACTGAAATGCCGCAATAGCCTGGAGCTACCCTCTCCATAAATAAGATGCTCTATTTTCTAAACTTCTGTACAGAGAAAGCTATTCATTCAAGTCTTACAGTGGGTTTAACTCTATGACATGTCACTTTTTCCTAAAGGTGAAATCATGTAGATTTCAAAGTGAGCCATCTGCTTATCTCCTATGATTTCTTTCTGAAAAGACTTCAGAAAGAGAAAAGTGCATTGTTTTCTTTTTTTTTCCCCCCCTTACAAGGTTAGTTGACTATTAGTAGCACATGCAAAGAAAATGTCCTCTGTAACTTTTATCCGGCTGCCGGTGCGGCAGCTTACCTAAAGGTAGAGTGGCAAACAGGTGCGAGGCGTGTCTGTGACCAGTGCAAATCGGTGCAAACCGTCCCCAGGAGCGAAAACTCCCAGGGGAAAAAAAAAAAAAAAAGGAACTTTTAAGCCCAGCCAGCGTGGCTCAGTGGTGGAGTATCAACCTATGAACCAGAACGTGTTCAACGCCCAGGTTGCGGGCTCGATCCCCAGTAGGGGGCGTGCAAGAGGCAGCCGATCCATGATTCTCTCCCATCATGGATGTTTCTCTCCCACTCCCTCTCTGAAATCAATAAAAATGTTATTTAAAAAAAAAAAACTTTTAAGACCACAAAGATCAACGGTATTTTTGAAAAGCCCCAACTCAGATAAAACTCCAGCGCCTTTTAAGACACACATTCATTCATTCGACACCTTTCCAGGCCGCAAAGAAAGTTGACATTACCTGGCGCCCTCTTTGGAGAAATTAGAAAGATGGGGGAGGGTTCAGTAAAGAGTGGGAACTTCACACACACACACACACACACACACACCTGCTGACAATGAGCCAAGGCCTCTGCAGGTTGGTACATTACGAAACCAAATACCCTCGAACACGAAGACGTCATCAAAACCAGTGTCCGTCATCCTCGTCCCCCTGGCTGTCTAGATAGAGGACAGCCACTTTCTTCTCGTCCGAGACCACCGACCTCTGGTCCACCATCCTCTGCAGCTGCACCGTCCTGTCGAACACAGCCTGCTCCCGGGAGGCCACGCGGGCGGCCTGGTCCTCCTCACGGCCGGCCTCCCTCCAGGTACTTCCGTGAGCATCCCCTTCCGTCCCTGTGGCGAAGCGGACCGTGGCCTCTCGGGCCCAGCGGGGGGCCGCCTCCGTGGGACTCGCGTCCATCTGAAAGGTAAACGCAGTTCCTTTGGGCCCCGGAACCGCCTGCCCTGGCGTCCTGCTGCCTGCGGGCTCGCCTAGCCCCTCCGGGAAGCCCATGGAACCAGCCAGGGCCCATGTTTTGGAAACGGGCCCACAGAAGGCAGCATGCTCAGAGGTTTGGGTTTCTGCAAGACTTCGGTGCCTAAAGGGTCTGCTCGTGCCCAGCCGGCGGTGGCTCAGTGGGTGAGCGTCGACCTGTGAACCAGGAGGTCACGGTTCGATTCCCAGTCAGGGCGCATGCCCGGGTTGCGGGCTCGGTTCTCAGTGGGGGGTGTACAGGAGGCAACCGATCCATGGTTCTCTCTCATTATGGATGTTTCTCTCTCTCCCTCTCCCTTCCTCTCTGAAATTGGTAAAAATATATTTTTAAAAAGTAATAATAGCCGAACCGGTTTGGCTCAGTGGATAGAGCATCGGCCTGCGGACTGAAGGATCCCAGGTTTGATTCCGGTCAAGGGCATGTACCTTGGTTGCGGGCACATCCCCAGTGGGGGGCGTGCAGGAGGCAGCTGATCAATCTCTCTCATCTATGTTTCTAGCTCTCTATCCCTCTCCCTTCTTCTCTGTGGAAAATCAATAAAATATATTAAAAAAAAAAGTAATAATAATCATCACCAACCTCCCCTGCCTCAGAAACAGGGCCTTATAAACTCCTTTCCCTTTGAGCATGAAACTGTTTGGAGCCACATGCCCGGTGGCTCCCTGACCTGTGTCAAGTTCTGGGGTGGGGGGTGGGGGGGAAGGAGGCCAAGTTCTTCTGCACCCCCTGCCTTCTGCCAGTCAGGGTCAGGCACTTGGGAGACGATTTCTTTGGACACTCGACTTGGACCGGGACCTACTGGAAAGCGCCTCAAAAAACAGCGGGCTCCCTCGGAACTGGCTGCCCGGCCCCAGCCACCTTCCCCACTCACCTGTCCTGCAGCCGGTCCTTCGGGGGGGACCTGCTCGGTCCTCCAAACTCCAGAGGGGCCGATCTTAATGTGTCTCACAGACGAGCTGACGTCCTCCAGCACATGCGAGCGGGCAAAGCTCCGCGGGCTGGTGACCTCCACGGTGGCCGACACCGGCCCCTGCGTGGTGGTGACCATCTCCGAGCTGCGAGAGGCCCAGCCGGCGTCATCGTCCTCAGCGGAGGCGCTGTACAGCTCCTGGGTGGCCCAGCGCTTGAAGCCCAAGCCGGTCGCCGGTGGTGACGCTCCAGCGTCCCCGTCTGGGCTCCCGGGTCCCGGGCTGCGTCGCTGGGCCAGGCTGCCTCGCACCACGGCCTCCACGGCTCGCTCTATTTCACCCGTGTCCTCTCTGCTCAGCTCCTCCAGGTCTAGCTGGTCGGTGTCCACGGTCTGGGACAGGTTGACTTCGGCCACCAGGGTCATGGCCCCGCCGCCCGAGGGCTGGACTTTCTTCACGTCCACCGAGAGGCGGCCGCCCAGCCCGCCCTGGTCCTGGGTGGTGAGGGCAGACAGCTCCTCCCTCACCCGCTCCGGGAGGCTCTCCTCCAACTGCTCCATCACCTCCACCAGCTGGTGCCTGGGCTCCCTGAAGTCTCTGTTGATGGACGTGTGGAACTGGTGCGGGATTTTAATCTCCTTGTCGATGACCGTGGCTTCGGCGCGAAACTCGCCGCTGGTGGTCTCCTCGATCCAGTGCGGGGAGCCCACCTCCGCCTCCGGAGACGATGCCGGGGTACCCGGGGACTTCCCCGCCGTCTCTCCCCAGGAGACCGTCCTCCGGGACGCCGGCACGATCTCGTCCTGCCAGGAGTACCGGATGGTGGACTCCTCTTCGATGTGGATCTGCCCGTACACCGAGCCCTCGTCCCTGTCCTGCCCGAAGTCACGCCCCTCGGGGCCCTCCTCCGGGGTGGACACGAAATACCTCTGCTCTTCCTCCGAGTCACCTGCCTCCGTCACTTCTTCCACCCGCGTCGCGTTCCCCGGGGGCAGCGTGGATTTCTGACGTCGAGCCGCTGAGAATGCGACCTCCGTTTCGCCATAAACGCCCTCCTCCTCCTCCCCGAACCCCGGGGACGCGTCGTCGGCCTCCTCCACTCGGAAGGGGGTGGAAAACTCCTCCGTCCTCCCGCCCGCCACGTAGCTCACGGACTCTTCCACGATCTCCACGTTGACCACCTTGGCCCTGCCCTCCCTCCCCTTCAGACCGAGACTGATGAGGTCCCCGATCATCCGCTCCGTGGACTTGGCCTTCAGCTCCACCTCGGCCTTCCCGCCCTGGCCCAGAAGGGAGTCCAGGCCGGCTCCGTCCCGCACGTCCATCTCCTCCGTCCGTCTCGACTCCACCACGATCTCCGTCTTGGTTCCCTTGTCCCCGGGCAGCTCCCTCCGGCCCACGTACGTGACCTTCGTGTCCGGAAAGGCCTCGGTCTCGGGCGACTGGGTGAACCGCTTCAGCACGCTGGACACGATGCTCTCCGCGATGGTTTCCGTCGTGGCGTCGCTGCTCGGCGAGCCCGCGGCCTCCCTGGCGTCCATCCTGAACCTCGTCTCTCTCCTCGTGTCCATCCCTCCCCCCGGACCACCACCTGCATCCTTTTGTAGGGGCGTCCGGGCCCCTCGGGCGGCCCCCTCCTCTGCCCGGCTGTCCCGGGACACTTCCAGGCGGATCGGTACCTCTCTCACCCGCACACCCGTCTCTTGGGGGGGCTCCCTCCCTTTCGCCTTGTCCCTCATGAGCTCGCTCTCCCTCTTCCTCGCTTCTTTATCCAGCTTGGTCAGCTCCTCCCACCGCAGGTTCCTCTCCTCCGAAGCCTTCTCCTTCGAGTCAAACATCTTCTCTTCTCGCTTCACGTGGATGGTCACCGGCCGGCTTCTCTCCTGGCTTCTCTCCCGCTCCCTCGCGGCCGGAGCTTCCGTTTTCTTTCCCAAAACGACGATCCTCTCCTCGGACCAGGCGCTCTCGGCGGCACCCACCGCCGCTCGGTCCCTGCGGTCGCGGTGGGACTCGCGGGCGGGGCTGGCCTCTCTGGCCAGACGCGCCTTGGGACCTTCGTCGGTTCTCGGCCTCCCAGGGAATGTCTGCGCGGGCACCTCCGCTTTCCTCGAAAGGCCGGACATGGGAGAGAAAGTCCTGAAACGGGCCTGACTGTTGGCGGTTTTCTCGTAGGCAGTCTCCCGCCGGGCGGTGGGCAGGGCAGGAGATCCCGGGCCCGGGAGGTGTCCCCTGGCGGCGGGCCCCGTGGCTGTGCGCGGTGCGGGCCGGGTCCAGCTGCGACGGACACTCCCGGGGGGCGGCTTGTGCCTCAGAAACAGGTTTCTCTCGTTTTCCCTCATTTCCCTCTGTAACGTCGTGTGCGTGTGCTGGTAGGCCGTGGTTCTGAGCTCTGTAGGAAGCGAACGGTTCATTAAAACGAGCATCATGGGTACCTCTTTCTATCATAAAAGCATCCCCCCCCCCCCCAGGTCTATCCCATCCAATAAACACACACTATTACCACGGAACGGTCGCCATCAATAAGATGGTTTCAAATCTCCAAATTATCCTGTTACAATAAAACATGGCACTGTAGCCCTGGCTGGTGTTTTCGGTGGTTATAGACCAGTGGTTCTCAGCCTTCTGGCCCTTTAAATACAGTTCCTCATGTTGTGACCCAACCGTAACATTATTTTCGTTGCTACTTCATAACTGTCATGTTGCTACTGTGATGAATCGTCATGTAAGTATCTGATATGCAGGATGGACTTAGGCGACCCCTGTGAAAGGGTCATTGACGGCCAAAGGGGTCGCAACCCACAGGTTGAGAACCGCTGTTCTAGAGTGTTAGCCCGCACACTGAAGGGTCTTGGGTTCGATTCCCAGTCAAGGGCCCATACCTCAGTTGCAGGTTCGATCACCACCCCCAGTTGGGGCACGTGTAGGAGGCAACCCATCGATGGGTCTCTCACATTGATGTTCCTCTCCCTCCCCCTCTCTCTCTCTCACCATCCACCCTGAGAGCATGCCCCAACTCCCACCCCAGTGCTACCCACACCCCATCCTGCCTTCTCTCCCCATTGGTCTCCATGGCAGCAAAGGCCAGAGGCCTCTTATACAGGAGGGAGATCAAGACAGGACAATTTCTACAAAGATACCTCTTTTGGGGTCAATATACTGGTTCTCCACTGACACATCCCAGAAAATGATGCGGGAACTGCCTGGCTGTCTAATGCAGGCTCATTGAGAG